TGTTTTTTTACTCTGATTTCACTTGTACCCTTAAAAGTGTTTTGAGAGTTAAAACACTTGAGACATGAGTCTGCTGGATATGAGAGGGACAGGGCATTGAGTACTGATATTTGGTTTTTGAGAGATCCTGAGTATATATTGTGTGAAGATTTTGAGACTACTTCCTTATGTATGACGATCACTCTGGCTCTCACAGGTGTGGTTTTTCCTGATGTATGATGGTTTGTGTGAAAGACATGTGAAAATACCATGGTAGCGATCCGGACGTCCGGACCGCTTTGCAGACAGTCTGGGTCCGGTGTCTGGTCCAGACGGTCCGGATTGCCCCCCCCTTGGCCGAAATAAAAAAAAAAGGGCGGCCTGGAAGTGTCGCTTGGCACCCAGGGAGGCCCTAAAAAATAGTTCTGTGAATTTTAGGCCCCATTCGCACTTTCCAGACAGGGCCGGACCGGGACTGAAGCAGTAAGGCGGGCAGATTCGAATCTGCCCGCCTTACTGCTTGGATTCTTTTTTGTTGGCGGCCGCGGCTTCGTTTTTTTCTGTTGGCGGTGTTGGATCTTGCTCGTCGTTGCCGCTCGACCGTCTTCGCCATCCTCAAGCTCGTCTTCGCCATCTTGGAGCCGCGCGTTTCTGCCATCCCTGTAAGCCTTCGAGCCGCCATTGCTGCAACTGCACAGAGAGGAAGGAAGAGGAGGAGGGACGGGGAGGAGGTGGCATACGAGGACGAGAGAGGAGGTCCCTGGGCGAACGAGAGAGACAGACAGCCGCCCAGGGAGGAGGAGGTTGTTGGGGGGGAAGGGCGAAGAGGAGGTGACCTATCCAAGGTGAACGAGAGAGACAACCAAGCTTCAAGTACAGACAGGTCAGTGACTCTCTCTCTCTCTCTCTCTCTCTCTCTCTCTCTCTCTCTCTCTCTCTCTCTCTCTCTCTATCTATCTATCTATCTCTATCTATCTATCTATCTATCTATCATATAGTAAGTGACTGGGGGCAAGATGACGGCCATGGCATGCAAACGGGAAACAGCAGGGGAGGGAGGAAGACTACCGGAGGCAAGATGACGGGCATACGGGAAATAACGAAGATGACGACGAGGAGGAAGGGGGAACGTCGCCTCCCTTTTCCTTTTATTTATTCGTTCTATTACAAAAAAGATCGATGTATCCATTGTATTTAAAGGAAAGAGGAGGGGGAAGGAGGACGAGGAAAGATGACAGCGAGGAGGAAGGGGGAATGAAGTGCAGGAGAAGCAGCAGGGGAAGAGGGAAGATGATTGAGGGCAAGATGACGGGAAACGACGAAGATGACGGGGAGAAGGAAGGGGGAACGAAGTGGAGGACGAAAACAATGAGGGAGGAGGAACGTCACCTTCCTTTTTTTTTTTTTTTTTTGTATCAGAAAAAAGAAGTCGTTGTATTCATTGCATTTAGAGAAAAGAGGAGGGGGAAGGAGGAAGAGGGAAGATGACGACGAGGAGGAATGGGGAACAAAAAAAAAGCAATGAGGGAAGGGTAAAAAAAAAGGAAAAAATGCATGTCATTCTTACACAGGGGCTTTGCTAATCTTCTCTTTCTCTGCATCGTTCCGTTTTTTTTTTTTCCTGTTCCAATTTTAAGGGATGTCCCGGTGGACTTTTCTTTCTTCTTTTGTTTTCCTTTGTCTAAAAAACTCGATTCTCCAGATGGGAGTGTGTGGGGCAGTGGATGCAGCACAAAGGCAAGACAAAGGCAGTTGTAGCGCGCGCGAGATAGATATACCTCCTGATGAGTCGGTGAAACTCCGACGAAACAGTTTGTCACAGCCCCTCGTTTGTTGTCCTCTTCTCCCTCTCTGCCTACGGGTATATATCTTCAAACAGAGCTGCCCAGTAAACCGTGGGCAGAGAGGGAGAAGAGGACAACAAACGAGGGGCCGTGACAAACTGTTTCGTCGGAGTTTCACCGATTCAGAGAGAGAGAGAGAGAGAGAGAGAGAGAGAGAGAGAGAGAGAGAGAGAGAGAGAGAGAGAGAGCCAAGCACAAAGACAAGACAACGTGTTGTATTTGTTATAAAACGGTTCTATTAAAAAAAAAGAAATCGTTGTATTCGTTCAATTTCGTTGTATTTAGAGAAAAGAGGAGGTGGAAGGAGGACCAGGGAAGATGACGACGAGGACGAACGGGGAACACAGYGGAGGAGAAACAGCGGGGGAAGGAGGAAGATGACTGCGGGCAAGATGGCGGGCATGCAGACGRGAAACGACGAAGCTGATGACGTGGAGGGAGGGGGAGCGAAGTAGAGGGAGGAAAACAATGAGGGAGGGGGAACGACGAAGATGATGACGTGGAGGGAGGGGGAGCGAAGTAGAGGGAGGAAAACAATGAGGGAGGGGGAACATCGCCCTCCTTTTTTTTCCGTTGTTTCGCCCTCCTTTTTTTTCCGTTGTATCCAAAAAAAGAAATCGTTATATTCGTTTTATGTAGAGAAAAGAGGAGGGGGAAGGAGGAGGAGGGAAGATGACGAGGAGGAGGAAGGGGGAACGAAGTGAAGGAGAAACAGCGGGGAATGAGATGACCGGGGCAAGATGACGGGCATGCAGACAGGAAACAACGAAGATGACGACGAGGAGGAAGGGGGAACGAAGCGGAGGAAAACAATTAGGGAGGGGAACATCGCCTTCCTTTCTTTTTTAATTCGTTCTATTAAAAAAAAAAACTGAAGTCTCTTCTTGATGCCTCTTGGACCTTCTTGTTGCTGAAAGATACTATACTTGGATGAACTTAGGAAAGGGCGTGGGGGAAAGAATGAGGAGGAAACGACACCCATGCATGCAGAGGACAAGGGGAGGCATAGCAGAGGGGAAAGGGGGAATATGACGGACATCGGCCCTCCTTTTCCTCTTTTTTTTTTTTTTTTTTCCTTAAACCACCACTACCTCCGATCTTTTTTTTGCCGACCCTGAATTTCACTGCGCACCTACTTTTGCCGAGCCAGGGTCGTCCCATCTAAGAAGAAGAAGAAAACAAAAAAAAAAGAAGAAAACAAAAAACTTCCCCGATGTCGTGATAACCATCAGATGCATTCTATGATGTGCTAGTGTGACTGTGCCCTCAGTGAGGGCATCTATCCACGAACAGCAGGTAGAAAAGCAAAAAAAAAAAAGCATCCCTTATGCTGTGATTGCGGTCCGATACAGGATGCTACAGTACTAGTCTGGAACTGAATGAAGCGAGGCAACTGCCTCGCGTGGAATCCGCCCTGCCTGGCTGGACGCTACAAGGACCTCACAACAAAAAACAAGAAAGGGAGACGACCTGTTCACGTTCCTCAGTCAATCGGTCAACTAATCAATCAACCCATACACAAATGGAGGAGGGGGGCGGTCAGAGAGGGGGTGGCCACGTCGAACGCAGGCCAATCAATCCATCAGTCAATCCATCCATCGAATGGATTGATTGATTGATTGATTGATCCATCCAATCAGGCAATCAAACAATCAATCAATCAGTTGATCAGTCAACGAATCAGTCAATCAATGCACAGATGGAGGAGGGGGGCGGTGGAGAGGGGGCGATGGAGAGGGGGTGGCCACGCGGATAGCACTGACTCTAACAGCAGGTTTTTTTTTGGCTGCAGCATGACGAAGAAGCATTCCGGGTCTGTGAAGAAACACTTCACAGATTTGGGCTTTGTGGGGGATGTGAATAAAGGGAACAAAGATTGGCAGTGCAATTACTGCGACAAGACTCTTCAGGGCGCCGCCACCAGGCTGAGGAAGCACTTCATCAACGGGGGGAGGGCGTGTAAAGTGCAGCAGTTGAAAGGGACTATATCAAGGGAGGAGCTATTGCAGAGGGAAAGGGGGAGGAAAGCTGCGATAGCTGAGATTGAAGGGAGGGCAGATGATGCCACAGAGTGTTGTGAGGATGAAGCGATTGTAGTGGAGGAGGATATGCCTCCTCATGCCGGTAGAGAGGGTGGCGAGCCCATGAAACGCCTACGGCAACCCACCATCTTGCAGACGGGTGCTGTTATTGACAAGCATGAGGAAACGTAGCAGTCCATCGATGATTGGATGACCGCGGAATGCATCCCCTTCAATATGATGAGAAGTGTGTATTGGGATCGCATGGTGCAAAAGTTGATGAATGCGCCGGCCGGCTTTAGATATGCCAAGTACGATAAGGCGAGGACAACACGTGTGGAGAAAACCAAAACGAGAATCACGGCAAGGGTGGAGGAGTTAAGGAAAGAGTGGGTGACCACCGGATGCATGCTGCAGCTCGACGGATGGACTGACCGTCGAGCGAGACCACATATCAATGTCATGGTCTCGTTTCCGAAGGGTGTCATTTTTTGGCGGAGGTTCGCTGCAAAAAGGGGGCTGCTGCTTACTACAAGATTTTGAAGAAAGCGATCGAGGAGGTAGGGAAAGAATCGGTCGTCGGTGTGGTGATGGATAACGCAGCAGTCTGTGCAGCTGCAGGGAGAATGGTGGAAGCGGAGTTCGGCCACATTTTCTCGGTGCCGTGCACTGCGCATAGCATTGACTTAGTGCTGGAGCAGTTTGCGAAGATTGGGTGGGTCGACAATGTTTTGAAGAAGGCGACGGAGGTGGCAAAGTTCTTCACGAACCACGSCAAAGTTCGGGACYTGCTCACAATTTATTCCAAAGGAATAGTTGTGGCAAAACCGGGGGCAACCCRGTTTGYGACCAACTTCATTATGCTCGATAGTKTGCAGGAGCTGTACTTGTCACTTCGCGCATGTATCACTGACCCTGATTGGAAGCCGAACATTGTGAACCAATCACAGCGACACCTTTTYGAGAACGCCACTGACYTTGTTCTTGACGAYAAGTTCTGGGCAGGAGTTGAGAAGGTCCAGTCGACGTCGAAGGAGCTGCTACTGCTTCTGAAGTTTGTGGATGGCGAGGGTCCGACAATCAGCAAGGTGTAGGCGCGCATGGACAGCATCGTGGAAAAGTTGCGAAGGAGTGCTTTTCCGAACAGGAGAAAGATGAGCCAGAAGAAATCATAATGCGACGGTGGAACACCATGACATCGCCTCTTCACTGTGCAGGGATGTTCTTGGACCCAGAGTATCGCAGGTCCAAGCTGGAGAAAGATGCAGAGGTGATGGACGGGCTTTGGACTTGGGTGTACTCGTGGTGCAAGCCGGACATGTATCGGGACATGGATGAGGAGGTGGACCGGTGGATTGATGGTTTGGGGAGGTTTAATTCAGAAGAGGCAAGAGCAGCGGCACGAGGGGAGCAGCCAGCAAGGTGGTGGCGGAAATGGTGCAGTGAGATCCCGAACTTGCAGAGGCAAGCGATTCGGTTGCTCGGCAAGGCTCCTCCAGCTCTGCTTGTGAGAGGAATTGGAGCCTGTTTGAGCATATACACTCGCGGCCAAGGAACAAACTGTCTCCTGCGCAGTTGAACAAGTTAGTGTTTAACAGATGGAACCAGCATCTGTTGGACAAGATCACAGGAAAGAAGCCGGACCGTGGAAATATTGCATGGGAGGATAGCGAGGCCGAACTGACTCCGACCGAATTGTCCAAGGAAGCAGAGCAGCGTGTGAAGGAGTGGCGGGAACGACTGCGGCGTTTGAGGGAAAGGGAGGTGGAGAGTTCCAGTGATGATGAGGATGATGACGATGAGGAGGAGGAAAATGGTCAGGGTGGTGGCAGGGCAGCAGAAGGACACATCTCACGTCTAAGACATCAAAGTGAGCTCCTTGAAATGGAGAGGGAACTGAATGAGACATGGAGGAAGGCCACGCGGCCTTCCAAGTGGATGGCACATTCTTACTTGGGGGAGGTGCAAAGGGCAGCAAAGATCATGACAGTGGAGCACGCTGAGAAGTACATTTCTGCTCCAGCCAAGGCGTGCGCTCCTGCCCCCCAAACAGCGAAGCGTGGCAGAGGGAGACCACGAAAGGCCCCACAGGCAGGGGAGGAGGATGCACCGACAGGAGGTTCCGGTTGCGATGAAGCTGATGGCGGGGAAGATGAGAGGCAGCAGCCCATGAGCCACTGAAACGAACCCGTGGCAGACCACGGAAGGCCCAAAAGCTTGTGGAGGAGGTGGTTGAGCAGGGGGCCATGGAAGATGAAGAAGGCGAGGCAAACAGTGGCGAAAGTGAGGAGGGAGAAGACGATGACGAGAGCTATGACTCCGAAGAGGAGCCGCTCGCTGTCAAACTGCGCAAAGCATCGGACTGAACTGGGGGGGTTGTGCTGCCTGTGAGAGAGAGAGAGAGAGAGAGAGAGAGAGAGAGAGAGAGAGAGAGAGAGATTTTAAGATTTATTTGCAAGAGAGAAGGGGGGAGTCTGAGAGAGAGAGAAGGTTTGACGTGTGAAAGGAACCACAGTCCGTGGAGTCCGTGTTTTTGGCTGTGCACAAACCCCCATTTTGTGGTTTCAATTTTTGAACCGTTCAAACCTCGAACTTTCAAACTGCAAATTCAAAACCCCCTGAGTAGTTTTCTGTTGTTGCTCAAACATTCAAACTCCGRGAGTCTGTGTTTTTCGCTGTGCACAAACTCCCATTTTATAGATCTGGCAGCACTAGTACGTAGGGAGATGTAGTCCCCTGGACTTGATCCACAGGACCATTTTAGGACTCTGTATGAGTAGGGGACACCTGTACTGTAGTAGTTTGGGACCGGGTAGATAGGAGGGATAGTCCTAGTGTAGAGCCAGCAGCCTCAGAGCCGCGTGGGGCTATGGAAAAGTCCCATAGGCTTTTCACTGTTTCAGCCTGTAAGCAAAACTGGATAATGCTTCCAGCTCCGGGTGTAATGTGGAGGTCCCCGACCTTCAGCTTGTTTGTGAAATGAAATCAAATTTAAATTTTGAGGGAAAAAAAAAGAAGTTCAATGTTTATGGAAGTTCACTGGATAATACCAACGAGCTCAACTCAATCGGTACACCCATGAACCATTGCAGTTAATTTATTGAAAATACCAAGGAGCCTAGCTCAGTTGGTACACCGATCGACCTCAATGAATGGAATAAATAATTCTTCTGTTTAACTGTTGAAGCAGTTGGTACTGTACTAGTGTTGTAAGTCTTCTGACCCCACCCACCCTCCACCCCACCCCCATGCCCTGTGTTTGTTTGTTTGTTTGTTTGTCTTTTTTTTTTTTTTTTTTTTTTCTTTTTTTTTTTTTCTTTTTTTTTTGTCGGACATGATTGGGCACCGGCACCCCAGTCCGGACGGTCCGGGTCCGGTACGTCCGGAGGTTCGGATTATGTCCGAAAGTCCGGACGGTCCGGAGAGGTGCGGACGTGCGTTCGGCCAGACGGTCCGGTAGGTCTGGAGTCCGGGTCCGGCGCTACCATGGAAAATACCTTGTGTGCTTTGTATTTTATGATTGTGGATGGATGTGAACTGTCTACTCTTCGGTAAACTTGTGCGATCAGCCCATGGGTGGATGATAGGACCGAGTATAAGAAGGGGAAGTACAGTCTGTTTTGTAAAAGGAATGTAAGGATCCTAAGATTTACGAGTCTTTGAGACTCGAATGCTTACCATGCTGAATGTTTATTGTTTGAGTTGTGTTGAAGGCTCATAAGTTGGGCTCTCAGTTTGTGTTGTCTTATGATTGAGACACCTTTTGAGTAAAAAGGTAGTCTTATGTTTTATTTGGGAGACTCATCTTCAAAAAAGGAAGATGTTTTACGAAGGTCATGTGAGAGCTCATCCTAGAGAGAGAGGGATGGCTGAGAGACCTATTGAGTGAGGCCCCCTTGCATGAAAGGTGGTTAATAGATTTAATGGCATGGAAAGCTGGTTTTGGGAAGATAAAGACTGACGACAGGGACCAGGATTTGTTGGTCATTTGGTAGGATTTTTAGGAATGTCGCAAAATGGTTTGATTTTGAGAGATGTCATTAAGATGTGTGACCTTCTTAGCCTGATCAAGTTGGGGGGTCACGGCCTTGTGAATCTGGCGGTGATTGTGTTTTATGAATGTGGAGAGGTTGCCATATTTCCTCCGTGTTGTCCCACAGAGGGCTGGTAAACACCTTTTATGCGTGGCAGGCCTATGCGTAGTCCCGCAATAGACCTGTATCGTTGCAACACACCGTTCAACCACTTGTGCTAATCTTGAGGCATATAAGGAAGACCAAGCTAAACGGTAAAGCTTTAGCACCACTAGGGCGTAACCCCTAGGGATGGCTGCTGGCCGGCACAACCTGGCGGCGAGCCCACGTCTTACCGAAGGAGTAAAGACTTAAAGGGTGTGGCCGCCTAGGAGGGTTTTACTCCTGCGGAACGGCGTGGGATAGAAGTCAAGTCATGTGAGTCTTTTTTTTGGGAAGTCATGATTGGATGCTTATCTAGAGAAAGCCTATCGTAGCGCAACCTACGAGGGCATTAACGCTAAATAACAAACACGGTAGGCCGTAGATCTGGCTCGATCAACCAGACTATGGTGGGCCAAGATGGAGACCTGACGCTTCTATACTAGACTACAGAAGAAGCTGAAAAGGGATTTAAGGACGTACATAAATATGTGTTTGATTGTGAGGATTTTTTTTTGAGAGAGAGGCTAGAATGCCTTCAAAGGTCTCGGTTAGGGCCCGCGTCCCTGGTTATGGCCGTGCTTACAGGGTAAAGGCTAGGGACACCCAACGACAGGTCGGCGTTTGTCTAGGACGAAGGGGAGAGAGCAGTTATGAGGGTCTTTGGAACTTATGTTGTAGTACTGATGCGTAGTACACCGGCGTTCTAGTGTCAGGACAATGGAGACCCAGGTTGAAACCCTGACAGCATATAGTTGTGGGGGCATGGACTGATGGAGACCTCAAACCTGAGTCTGTCGACTAATCGGATTGGTTCCTTTCTCGTCAGCATTTGAAGTATGGGTGATTTGGTAGTTTTTTTATCTTGCGAAGCGACGGGGACGTCACTTAATATGGTCCGGTAAGTTGTCGGCGCGATTACCCTTACAAGGGTATCCGCCCTGGCTTTGGCAAGTGACAGAGAGCTAAAGTTAATTGGAGTCTTTGAGCGTCTGCACGGACCGCGGTGGTCGTCCGTACGCAGACCAAGGGTTGTCTGAATAGAGGAGGCGAGTGGGCGCCCAGTCTTAGGGCGCGCGTGTGATTTTTTCCCTTTGTATGGTGTGTAGGATGGTGCGGGAGACGGCCACGACACAGTTTAGGGAGACCGACATGGATGCCTGGCGGCCGCGCGTCTGGTTGTAGGAGGAGGTGAGGCCCCAGGCATTTCCTCAGCATTAAGCACTGGGGCGCACCGCCCTATATACGTGTTATTGCGGAGGTGCGAGGATCGAGGCCAGCAGGCGGCAGCACAGGAGCAGTGGAGTGTTGAAGGGACTGAGGGGTTGAGGGTTCCGCGGGACTATCCCCCTTAGTTTTGTTGGGAAAGTCCGGTTGCGGGCCCACTTGACAGGACCGAGGAAGTGCAAATGGGTCCCGCCCCCTCGCCCTCGGTCTATGCCGTTTTCACTATTATTTATTTATTTATATTTATTTTTAATTTTTTTTTTTCCCTTTCTTTTTCCCATGAAGTCTGGGCCGATACCGGTTCTGAGACCGGTTGGCGAGCCAAGGACGGAATGGTAAAGTCGGACCTTCTGAGTGTCCGGGGTCGCGCAGGGCTCGGAAGGTATACGGGGCGCTCCTGCGGCTAGGTCCTTCGGGACATCCGTTAAAATTGGAACGATACAGGGAGGATCAGTATGGCCCCCTGGCCCAAGATGATATGTATAAGAGGGGAGCGGCCTCCCCGTATTTTCTGTTGTTGTTATTGTTTATGTCGCCATTGCGCTGCTCTCTCAGTCCGTGTATGTACGCTCCGCAAGTCGGTGCGCTAATGCATAGTGAGGCGCTATTGAGCTGCGTTGGGCTTTTGGGTCGTAGCGTCGTTTCAAGCCGGCCGTGCAGAGAAAAGATAGAAGTGTATCCAGCTGAGAGCATGACCGGGTGCCTTCGTGGTGACTGGGGACGACACCGGGGGAGTAGGGGTGAATAGGGAAGAGCACCGACGAGAAAGGAGACGAGCATGGCGATGAGGAAGGAGGCGTTTCACGCCCGTTCCTCGATAGAAACGGCCGACTGAAGGTTTATTCCGGACACTTTGACCCCGTGCGAGTTGCATAGTGAAGTCCGATTGGCGACTGGTGAATGGAGTGGGAGCCCGATGGAAGAATAGGTGAGCGTGGGGGTCGAAGGGAAGGAAGTACGGAGCGGGGCGCACAAGAGAGAAGGGGGTGGCGCCTACCTTTGGCTAACGGAGTCGGACGGGGGGGTGGATGATCCTTGGGTTACCTGCCACGGCAAGCCCGTCTCAGTAGTCTATTCAACCAGGAGGTTAGTGGGAATATAGAGGTAGATGAGATAGAGGGAGTGACGGGCTATGTCGGAAAGATGGTGGATAGGAGAGAAACTTCGTTAGCCTGACTTTCGGTTGGCAAATTTCGACAAGAAGGGAGGCCGAAGCCGGGGTTTGAACGAAGACAAGCTTGGAGCCGGTGGTGGTTGGAGTGATAGAGTGCTAGGATAGGTGACGATGGAAAGGGTCGAAGGGCGAGTAGCCCCCTCATGAGTAAGAAAACTTGAGTAAAAGTGGGGAAGGATTAGGGGTCTTCCGGCATCTCGCGTCCGATGAAAAACTCAGACTGACGAATGGATTAGTTATATGGTCGAAGGTTGCCCGAGAGACAGTGTCTCAGTGGTTATGATAAGTTAGACAACTGCCGACAGACCGTCACGTAACTATGACGGAGTTTAAGACATGAACTTGCTGATTGGCTACTATAAAGAGGGCGGAAAGAGAGGAATTCGCTGGAATGTTTTTACGACCTGTATTGCGACTACTTGCTAAGGCACCGTTTTCTGCTGTTTCTTGGTTTTTGGGCTCCCGGTTGCTGAGATCGGCGCTGCTGTATTTGACTATGTAGGGGCTGTGGTGTTGCTGCGTATTTTGCTTACTATTGAGCACGACGCTGCTAAGTTTGACCAGGGAGCAACTCACGCTGCAGAATGAAAGGGCTGCGGAGAACACAGTGGCAAGCCAACAACGAAGATGTAGAATTGGTTCGCGACCGGTATACTTGGGTTAAGAAGGCACGGTGTGCTATTATACACATATGTTGAGACTGTTCTTAGCTAATGTGGATACTATGTGTCCAAGGAGCCACTCCCCACCTTGTGTCCCAGTCGCTGCAGCATTGGGTGCTACTGGTCACGGTGTGTATCGCAGGCTGCCTAAGTCGTGTTTCTGCAGCAGTGGTTGTGTTATTATGGGCTTCTGTTCTGCTGTTGGTGTGATCGGGCCGCTCGTCGTACGTTGCTACGCATTAGCTGCCACGGGGGCTGTGCCCCGCTGAGTCAAGAGAGGCGTACGTTATCTTTACAGCAAGGTGCCCTTGGGGCTATGACTGCTTCCTGATCGGAGGTTTGAGCCGAAGGTAGAAGGAGAGACTGGGTGGTGCATTTCAGTCGCAGGGAGTGTTACTCTGTCTCTGTACTCAGAACATTGCGGATAGTACTGTTCAACTGATGGATAAGCCAATGGATACTGAGCAGGTTGTGCCTCCATCAGTCCGCAGGGTTGCTAGTACTCGTCAAACGGTTGACTACTTTGGCCACGTGTCTTCTGCTACAGCAACATCGTGCTTGCTGTGGGTTACTGGGCTGATTGACGACCATACGAGCTGCTGTGTATTGGCTGCTTTGCTATGATTGGGCCGGTTTCACTAACCGTGCACAAAAGCTGCTACGGGTTGTAGCTGATTCCGCTCGCCACTTTGCTATAGCATATCACTGCTCCATAACTGCGTGCCTTGCTGCTCATCCTTGACCACGGAGTCTCTGCAGC